CGCGGTTGATCCTCTTCGCCTTGCAGGGTTCGCCTTGCAAATGGCCTACCCAATTCATCTTTGGCATCTGGAGATTCTGATGCACGAGGCGCCGCGTGTCCTGGAGGTCAACGGCTTCGTGTCCGATGTTACCCCTACGGGGCGTGGGATGCTTCCTGGATGTGTGCAGTCCATGCCGTGGCTCAAGATTTATCTGGATGATTTGATAGATGTTGCGCGTGCCCAGCGCCGCCCTGTGCCCACATCTGCACACGCGGACGACATCGCCCAGACCCAGCAAGGCGCTTGGTCAGAGATTGTCTCGAGCATAGTTCCAGCTGCAGTGCATCTCTGTCATCAGTTGAGCAGACAGGGACTGCCATCTCTAGCAAGAATACCTTTGTTTGCTCTGATAAGGACTTGCGAGGTCATCTTGCCGCCCCCTTGTCGCGCTGCTCGCCCACCTATCAAGGTGTCTGATGGAGTGCATGATTTGGGGGTCATGACCGCCGCAGGCAGGAGTCGTTGTGTTTCGAAGTTGCGCCAGAGGCGTGCTCTGACCAGGAGAAAGGCCCTGCGGGTCCGTTGTCTTACTCGCCTGGTGGGGGGAGCCCGTTAGCTTGACAGGCCCGCGGCGTTGGCGGTTGGGTCGTGGGGCCGTGAGGTTTTGGGGCTCTCCCCCGCTCATGTGCAGTCTATGCGCGCCCGAACGGCTACTTGTTCTGGGTAGTGGAACTCAGTGGTCTGCGCGACTGCCGCGTTGAGTTCGGTTGGCCCTGCTCAGGATGACCCCCATTTTAGGCTTCGACATGAGCAGTTGAACTCGCTCGCCTCGACTTGGAATCGACTACCCCACAAACAGAGAGATCGCGTAGCACAAGGGTGGAAGAATATTGCTGACAAGTTTGCTTGCGCGCAGTATCACTGGCAAGTCGCGCGAGGTCCGATCGCGGCCACGCTGGCGGTGCTTCTCGACTTGAGTTGGGATCCTATCTCTCCGGGGTGCTGGCGTATCGGTACAAAAGTGCTCCGCGTGACGGGTGGAGATGCCCCTTGCCAGCTCTGGCCCCGCCTGATTTTTACCTGCCAGGCTATGCCGTGGGAGGCTACGGCGGGGCAGTGCATGGGGATGGGAGTGGGCGGGGGAGTTGACTTGACAATGGCGCATCGGTATCTTAGGAGCTTGGAGAAGCAAGGGGAGGCGGAGTCGGCAGGCACTGTTCGGAGCATCGCTGCAAGCGCTTCTTGGACCGAAGCTAGGCTGCCCGATGCGGGACACCTCTCGCATGCCGCTGGAGTATGTCCACGCTGCGGGGCCTCAGCTGAGACTCCGCTCCGTCGCTTTGGGGAGCGTGTCGCCAACCAGTCTTTGCTCGATGTGATCGTGCATCGCACTAGTTCGCTCGTTGATCGGGTTCGTGCTGAACCAAGCGCTCTTGTTTTTGGCTTCGTGGCCTCCCGCCTTTGGCGGATTCCTGTGGGCATCTGCCGCCGCCTGATTCTCGCGTTCGGGAGTGGGGCCGCTCGGTGGGAGGAGTGAAGATCGATGGCGGCGTTTGGGGCATGGATGGACCAGGGGGGAGGTGCACTAAGGACTGGCGGCTCCGCCGCTGCGGTTTGGCGTGCGCCCACCCAGGCTCCTCTGGCCTTTTCGCCGCCATTGTTGTGGGCACGCTGCCCAGCGAGAAGCAGTCCTCCCCGAGGGCGGAGCTCTATGCCTTGATTAGGTTGGCTAGTTGTACGACTGGCCACTGCAGAGTGTACTGTGATTTCTTGAGGGTGGCCAAAGGAGTGCGTCGACCGTTGCTGGCGAAGTCTCGGTCGTCTATGTTGGGCTTGTGGTCCAAGAATCAGAAGGTTATGTTGTATCGGGGGGGGTCTATCCAAGTGCTTTGGACTAAATCACGTCCCATCCAGGCCCAACGCCAAAACATGTTTTTGGTTGATGTGGAAGTTTATTTGAACCAAGCTGCGGGTTTCTTCGCCGATGTAGCTGCTGATCGTGCCCAAGTTCCCGAGGAGTTGGTGGATCGGACCCGCCGGGCTGATAAACTTGCGTCTGATGGTTTGTCTCGTTTGTTGGCCGTCCAGCGGGAGATCCTCTTCACGGGGGCAAGGGACCGTGTCGAGCGCGCTCCTAGGAGGCATAGAGGTCAGCAGGCTAGCGATGTGGAGCGAGTCTGCAGATTGCGCCAGATTGTGGGCGCGAGCCCCAGTTGCGGAACGCTAGCATCAAGTGTTTCAGTTGCTTCGGAGGCTTCCCATTGCGAGGGCAGCTGGCGGATGTCTGGCCTGACCCTTGCAAGCCTGGCTGTGCGATGCGGCAGAAGATCCCGAGCGTGCCCCCGAAAGCCCCTACGAGCGGGATGGAGGACCCTGTCCCAGACGACCTCGCAGCTGTTCCTGTCGGTGGGGCGGCTCTGGATCACCCCATGGCCGAGTCTTGTGATCCCTCCAATCAGCTTGCAGTGCTGAGAGGTGCTCTTTTCTGTGAGGTTCGCGGTGGATTTTGCACAGTCAATCCTCCTTCGGTCCCTTTCCAGGCTCTGTGGCAAGCCTACTTCGTCAGGCCGCGAGGTGTTGTCGCGGCTCTCCAGAAGGCTGCCCCCGAAGTCGGGCACTTGTTTCCCTGACATGTGATTTGTGTTTTGAGCGGCCTCCCCAAAGGAGGATGCCGCTTTAGGCAGAATTGAAATTAGACCTATTGTCTCCTCATCCTTCTCCTCCTCTTCCTCCTCCACCTCCGCCTCCGCCTCATGAGGGGGAGATCGACAAGCCGAAGCGCCCTCGGAAAAGGATGGCATCCGAAAAGATGGGCACCGAGATCAATGACGAACGAGCAACACACACACACACACACCCGTACAATCGAACCTAGCACAAAACATCCCTCAAGATTGCGAGACCCTCAGCCGGCCAAAACGCACAGAACATCCAAGGGCACCCTCCCTAGGGTGCGCAAGAGCATCCAACAACCACGAAGAACCTTAGGGTACCCTCCCCGAGCCGACCTCGATCTTATACCTCTGTCCGATTGTACCCATGGGGGGGTCGGATAGAGCTATGAGCGCGTGTTGTCGGATGGGGGTGCCCCCACTCGAACGGAAGCGCCCGCCGGGGGTCCGACCACCCGTACCCATATCCATAGCCTTAGTGTGTCTTGGAAACGCCCTTTGCAGCTGTTGTGTCTTGTGAGCCAACAGCGCGCACCTGGGAACGATTAAACAACGGACCCTGGAAACTATCAAAAAACGTTTCCGCGCGATCACTTGGAAACTATTTTAAAACGAGTCGAAGCATACTGGAACCGGTAAAGAAACGGCCCCCTGGAAACTATAAAAAACGGGTTGGTGAACAAGCGACACAAGATGATAATGCCGATGATAATGAATACGAAGCGGGCGGCGCAGCGGGCATCAGCAGCAGCGAGCAGTAGCAGAAGGCAGTAGCAACAGGCGGTAGCAACACCAGACAGCACAGGAGGAAGGTGGCGGCTGCAGCTGGTAGGAGGTGCAACAGAGAAGCTGTTTGGAGAGAGTGTCGAACTCTTATCGCGCGTTACCTGTCAATCGCTGTCCGACCCATCGGAATGGAAGGATGGAAACGCGTTGAAAACGTTTAGGAAACGTATTGCAAACAATCTCAACCAAGCAACTTCGACCCTTGAGCCAGGGGAAGCGGAAACATTGAGGATGTCGCCGCCGCCACTGAGGCCGCCATTACGACGCCGCCGCTATGACACCGACGATGTCTCCGGCTCTGACGCGCACGGGATCGGACAGCGATTGACAGGCAACTCACGATAAGAGCCCACAGAAGCCTTTTGGAGTGAGCGTGTCGAGCTCTTATCGTGCGTCGCCTGTCAAGACCGGATACAACACAGCACGTTGCGCGGCGGACCTGAAAACGATGACAAAACGAAGTTGGAAACCATACAACAAATTATCCCTTGGATTGGCGTTGGAAACGATCAAGCAACGCATCGCCGCGGAGGCATGGAAACGACAAAAAACGGGAGCCAGAAACGTGTTTTTGAATGGACGCTGGAAGCTATAAAAAAAACCGTCCAGGGCGTTTCCAAGACACACTAAGTCCATAGCTGGTCCTCCTCCCAGCGACCCCCCTATGGGTATGGCTGTATGGGTGTGTGTTGTTCGTTCGTCAATCAAGTGATGAAGGTCAGAGGGACAGGGACGCTTCAACCTGGTAGCGGAGGCCCCCACAATCAAGGAATCACCCCGTCGCCTGATTGTCTGAATCAGATGATGCCCTGCTGGGCAAAGTGGGCGGAAGCTGGAACTGCCAAGTCGTCTCCGCATTCCGCCTGGCTTTCCGCAACACTTCTTTTCAGTCTGGCTTCAGGTCGGGAGTGTCCCCCTACAGGCGGATTTTGAACGAAAACTAAAACAACTCAAAGAATACACCAAACATGGACATACGCAAAAAATACACCAACAATTCCCAAGCATACTCAAAACATCGTCCCCAGATTATTGTTTGATTGCTTTTGTATATTCCTCCTGTAGAGGGACAGGCCCGTCCTAAGTCTGGCTTTCCTGTGCACCTCAATTGCAACTTGCTGCCGCACCCGCGCGGCATAAGGCACGAGACGCGTCCGGCACCCGGCAAAATGCTGTACATGTGGTCCAAGGAGCCCACGCTGGACTTCTCTTGATGGGCCTGTTCTCTTCCACCACCACCATAAGTTGGAGGGGGAAGGAGGACGAAAAGGAGGACGGAGAGGAGAGGAGGAGGAGGAGGAGGAGGAGGAGGAGGAGGAGGAGGAGGAGGAGGAGGAGGAGGAGGAGGAGGAGGAGGAGGAGGAGGAGGAGGAGGAGGAGGAGGAGTCGAGCGTGCGAGGGGCGCGGGTCCCGACCTCTCGGCGCCGCGGCGCGGCGCCTCTCATGCTCTTGAGGAGGAGGAGGAGGAGGAGGAGGAGGAGGAGGAGGAGGAGGAGGAGGAGGCGGTGATTGCAACTTGCTGTCGCGATCGCGCGGTAAGGCACGAGGCGCGCCCGGCACCTGGAAGGTTGCTGTAGATGTGGTCCAGGGAGCCCACGCCGGACTTCTCCGACACATCCCTGGAGAGCTTTTGGTCCAACGCCACGATCTCCTCCGAAGTCGGATTGGCGTTGAAGTCCTCGGGCATGGGCGCTTGCGCGGCCGGCTATGTGCAACCGTGGCATCGGACAACCTGGGGGCGGTGCGCTTCAAGGTAACAACTTTTGGGGGTCTGGCGCTCCTGGCCCGAAATAGCCCTGCGGCTAATTTAGTTCTGGGATGCATGTGCTGCGGCGCCCCCCTCCCCCTTTCCCTTCTCCAAGGACGCGTTCCGAAACGAAATTCTCGAGAGGGTATCAAAAGGGCTCCTTTTTTCCTCCTTCTCCATGGATTTTCCTTACATCTAGCTCCTCCTTGTCGCACCCGACGCCGATCGAAGGGGCGGGCCGGGCGTTTCGCCTGAGACTTCCTCCGGCTTCTGATCCTGAGGCTTGAGACTTGCACCACTTTCACGAATGGAGGGCGGCCCGCTTTCAAAAGGTGGCTCTCGCCTCTTCGCCACGCATATTCGTTTCAAACATTCGCAACAGCTCCACGTATGGAGGAAAGGTCCGCTTGGAAAATATGGCTCTCGCCATGTCGCCGACCATTCGTCGTAGACTTTGCAGCAATTTTAGGGATTCTCATGGTTAACGTCCCAGAGATGGTGTTTCGGCACGATGTCGGAATGTCACGGCCCAACAGTCACGTTGATCCGTGGCGTTGAAGTCCCAGGACTGGCTTTCTGGCACGGTTCAGGATCGCAGGGACGCAGCAGTAACGGTGATTCGCGGCGCTGAAGTTTCAAGAACGGGCTTCCGGCACAATTCTGGTTTTTCAACAAGTTGCTTTCCAACGGGGTATCCGGGTCAATACAAATGAATAGGTGTAGGAGCCTATGAATAGGGAACTTGGAAGGAGGGTTTACTGCAATATCGTTGATGAAGCTTGGGTTTACATTGGTCCGCGTCCTTCCCCTCACTCTCTTCCTCCTCTTTCTTTTTCTCAAATGTTCCCCCACGGATTTCCACCGCCGCTGGGAGAACCCATGTGCCAATAGCATGGCCAAAGTTTGGCCCAACGTTGGGCCACATATGGCGACATCGACATTTTCAGAAAAACAGGGGCCGCCGATGATTCGCCGTATGCGTCGTCGATACAGTCTGCCCCTTCTGCCCTCTCTGCTCTTCGTGCTTTTCTCTTCTCTCCACCGTCTACTCCGAGAACTTGGGGATCCGGCCACCCACTGGCATCGGGGGGAAACTCGAACCAAGATCTGGAGCCAGAAACCCCCCCAACCCCCTGCATCAAACACCCCGGGAGCTTGCCCACCTACTGAGAACGGCTGGCCAACAGAATGCGGCGTCCCCGAGGATGATCACGGCGTCGCCCTGCTGGGCGTTGGTCTTCACCAGCTGCAGCATCTCGTAGGCCACGGACTTGCCGCCGCAGATCCCTCCCGTATCAACAGGGATCGGACCTTCGCGCGCGGGTTCGCTCCACTGCCTGCTGCCCCTGCTGCCGCAGGGCACAGGTATATACATAGGACCTGCGCGCAAGATACTTATCCTCCTCCTCCTCCTCCTCCTCCTCCTGCTCCTCCGTCGACTCATTCCTCTCCTCTTCCTCCTCCTCCTCCTTCGGTGGCTCCTTCGCTTGATCCTCCTCCTCCTCCTCTTCTTCCTCATCCTCCTCGTCGACCCCCTCCTGCTCTTTCGCTTCCTTCTCCTTCGCCTCTCCGACTTCTCAATCCCTCTCCCTCATGGATAGCTACTTCTTGTCGCACTCCCAGACGTGTCGGTAGGGCGGGCCTGGCGTTGTGCCTGAGTCGTTATCATCCCCTCTGATCCTGAAGCTTGAAATGTGCAACAATTCAACTTGTTGAACATCACATATTTTTAAATGTGGCTCTCGCCTCAGCGCCGCGCACATTCGTCTTACACGCTTGCAGCAGTCACGCGAATGGATGACCTTCTTCAAAATATGGCGCTCGCCGTAGCGCCGCCCACACTCGTCTCAAACAGCTGTAGCAATTACGTGCACGGACGGAGCACAAGTCGCCTTCGAAAGGTGGCTCTGGTCTCCACGCTGCGCTGCGCACATTCGTCTTCAACGTTGGCAGCACTTCTACGGGTAAATCGGGTCGGGCGAAGGGGGGGGTATAGCAAAGAGGGGGGGTTGAGAATCAGCTCACGTAGCTGATTTTCCCGGCGCCTCCCGGCGCCGGGAGGCGCCCATGTACCGAGGAATGGAATGGGCCCCTCGGTGAGGCCGAAACCAGCTGCATGCAGCAAACTTCGTAACCCCTCCTTTCCCAATCCCCCCCTTTCGTCCGGCCCGAGTAAAGGGCGGGCCCTTAACCCGCTGACGTGGTGCCCGGAGTGTGCGGGCGAGTGGCAGCATGTCGAGACCGAGCCAGCCGTGCCACCCGGACCCTCGGCCCCGCTCGGAAGAGAAGCCGAGAGGCTGTGGTCGAAACCTGGCGCCAGCCTCAGGTCGGGGGTGTCCCCCCACTGGGGGATCTTGGGCGAAACATGAGACATACTCAAAACCTACCCCCAAATGGGCAGAAATAGTCAAAACATTGTCCCCAGCCTATTGATTTACTATTGTTGACTGTTCCTCCTGTAGAGGGACACGTCCGACTTAACGCTAGCCTACCATAACGCAGAAGGTGCAGATACAGGCGCTACAGAGCGTCGACGTGGCAGGAGCTACCGGCACGCCATGCTGAGCACGGGACTCCGTCCAGGCAACTGGGAGGAAGGCGGAGGGGGAGTAGGATTAGGTCGGGCCTGTCCCCCTACATGGGGATTTTGGATGAAAAATTACAAATAAATGCCCAAACATGGCCAACAGATATTCAACGAATCGTCCCCATAATATTTTTTGAGTATTTCTGAATATTCCCCCTGTAGAAGGACAAGCCCGACTTGAGAGTAGGAGAGAGGGGGGGGGGGGGGGACGGGGGCGCAGGAGGGAGAGCGGGAGGAGGAGAAGGAAGGTGCCGGAGGGATCCAAAGGGGGTTTTGAGGGAGGTTTTCTTTTCTAGGAGGGGTCCCCCATTGGCTTCGCACCCCCTGTCTTGACGAGGTTCCGAGGCCCCTGGGGGGCTCTCTGGAAAACCCTCCAGGCCAACAAAAACCCTTTGGAACCCTCTGGAGGAGGGGATGGGGGAGTCAAATATAAAGGGAAATTAGGACACACAAATAAATACACACAAATAAAAATAGTCCCCATATTTTCCTATAGTTTCTGGGTTTTTGTCTTCCCCCCCAATTCCCATATTTTCCCATATTTTCCTGGGAATCGAAGATTAATTGTGTCTGTGTGTTTTTTTCCCTCCTGAAAATAACGGAACTAAATTTGTTTGGCATCAACTGCAATGCTTCAACGTCAACGCCACGGGACTGCCTCGACCGTGAGGCCCGGCAGCTTCGGGTGCAGACCCTTGCAGGCCGCGCTGAACGTGCAAATCTGGCTCCTCGCTGGCGCCTCGCACTCCGCAGCTGAGCCTCGAACGTGGACCGTCCGCGGTGGAAATAAAGGGGGACTGGAAAGAAGGCTGAACAAAAACCAAAAAAAACATGTAAACCAGGAACAACAGAAGCAACAAGAACAAACAAACCACAAGAAGAGTGCGGGGGTGGCGCGGGCCACGACCTGCCTCGACTCGGCCGCCGGTGGTGGGCACTGGCCCTCCAAAACTCCTTCCGCTCCTGGCCTCGCCATCGCTCGGACGCCCATTCCCCGTGTTTTTTTGTCGGTTCCGTGCGTGCTTTTGTTCGCCAAATGGTCCAGGATGTTCCTCGAAGGCCCTCGCCGAAGGAAAAATGCACACGTCCGGATCCCCTCCGGATCCCGCCCAGACCCCCCAGGGGCGTCAAGATGCTTTCTTTTGGCCCCACTAGAAACCTATCAGTCTTCGCTGATAGATAAAAAAAACCCAACAAGAAGAATGCGGGCGTGGCGCGGGCCATGACCTGCCTCGACTCGGCCGCCGGTGGTGGGCACTGGCCCTCCAGAGCTCCTTCCGCTCCTGGCCTCGCCACCGCTCGGACGTCCATTCCCTGTGTTTTTGTTCGGTCTCGTGCGTGGCTTTCGCGCCGAATGGTCTAGGATGTTCCTCGAAGGCCCTCGCCGAACGAAAAATGCACACGTCCGAGCGATGCCAAGTGGCGGCCCGGCTCCTCCCCCTCCCCCTCCCCCTCCCCCTCCCCCTCCCCCTCCCCCTCCCCTCCCCTCCCCCTCCCCCTCCCCCCCCCCTCCCCCCTCCCCCTCCCCCTCCCCTCCCCCTCCCCTCCCCCTCCCATTCCGCTCCTGGCGGCCCGGCTCCTCCCCCTCCCCCCCCTGGGGTGCCGTGGGAGACTCTGCGCTCGGGTGCGTCCCGCGCGCCGTGTGCGACCACCACGGCCGCGTCAGCCACGCAAGCGCCCACGCCGGAAGGGCAGCCGCAGCAGTCCGAGGCGGGCACCCACTCCAACAGCAGTGGCCGATCTGAGCAAATCGAGGGAGGAGGGAGGAGGAACTCGTCCTCCTCGTCCTGCTCCTCCTCCTCCTCCTCCTCCTCCTCTCTCCTCCTCCTCCTCCTCTCCTCCTTCTCCGTCCTCCTTTTCCACCTCCTCCTCCTCCTCCTCCTCCTCCTCCTCTCTCCTCTCCTCCTCCTCCCTCCTCCTCCTCCTCCTCCTCCACCTCCTCCTCCTCCTCCTCCTCCTCCTCCTCCTCCTCTTCCTCCTCCTCTACGCCAACTCCACTCAACATCGAACTAGGGACTCGCATTGGATGGGAAAATGCTTCGGCTCAGGGCACATCGGCACGGAGTGGGAATCGAATCGGATCGGCTGTGCCAAGATGCCCACAAGCTCCGTGCAAACATTCGGCCGCATTGACCGTCGGGACCACGGAATCGGATCGGGCCCGCCGAAATCGAGATCGAACGGGATCGGTCGAATCGAAATAGACCACGGCATATTCAGGCCTGGAGCCGAAGGCAGCGCTACACCACTGCTGCAGGTGAGCTCCCCGCTCAGGCGCGCGTGCCATCTCGACTGCGGAAAAATCGCTCGACAGTGCGGCCAGCCCTACGATAAGCGCAGTGGCACGCTCGCGACAATGCGAGGCCGATCGGGAGGAGAAGGAGGAGGATAAGGATGAGGCGGAGAAAACATTGGCTTTTTATGCTTGAGTTGTTGTCTACCTGCCTTCCTCTTTTCAGACACCGGCAGTGGCAGGCTCAGCTTTACCCAAGTCACTTTACATGACCTACGTGAACTCATCTTTCGCAATTCACTGGGCCAACTTCATGACGCGACGGCTCATCCAGGCCTATGCTGGTGCAACGCGCGTGGAGGGCAAACGAGGAACAATGAGGGATGGATCGAACCGTGACTCGCTCAACTTTGGGGATTGGTGCGATTCGAGACCGTGGTGGTTGACGAAGAAGATCACCTTGCCCGCCTGCTTGTGCTGGACGCGCATGAACTGCACCGCACGTTTCCTTCCCTCTCCTGGCTGGATATACACGCCAGCATGCCTCCCGTCCGACCGGGCATCGAAGGGCAAACCGAACGAAGACTACGAACTCGCATTGTTTTGCCTGGTCAGGCGTGAGAATGCATATGCCGAAACGGGTCCATGGGGGAGCCTAATGGAAGTGAAACGTCAATATCGGCGGTGGACAAACCTCCCTTTCGTAAACCTCCCCTTAGTGAAAACGGCCTGGGACCGAACTCGACGGACCTGGACCCACAAGGATGACGGCCGCGACGCCCCCTCGGGAGCCGAAAACGGCCCATTCCTGAATCGGCGTGTGGCAGGGTAGGATGCCCATCCGCCTCCGACGATAGCACCGAAAGCGGGGAATGGGAAGAAGGACACATGCTGGAACAGCTGCCTGGGCCCACAGAGGAGGAGCTGCTGGCCGGGGAGACCTCGTCCTGGGCCACACTGGCGCTCGGATGCGTCGTGCCCTCCCGGGACGGGCCGGCGGGCCGGAGTATAGACCGGGCCGGAGGACTGCACGGCGTCGCCGAGGCATCGGGGAAGTCGGGAGGGAGGAGGTCGGGCACCGGGTGACACCCGAGCCCCACTGCGCCCTCCTTTCCTCTGCGTCCTCTTCCTCCCTGTTTCTCGCTCGTACCCCCTGGCTCAGCTTCTCCCTCCTCGCTCCCCATTTCTGCCTGCGCACAGAATAGACTGGGGTCCTCTTGAGGGTTCCAGGTCCGCCTTGGCACCCATCGGCGGATGGACAAAAATCAGCGCAGTGGGAAGGGATGCGTGGGAGGGGTAGGATTAAGTCGGGCGTGTCCCCCTACAGAGGGGTTTCGATGAAAAATAGTAAACGATCAATACACATGTGTATATATATATATGTATCATATATATATATATATATATATATATATATTTATATATAGACATGATCAAATACTTAAATTCGCCGGCCCAACGGGCCAGGGCGTGCTAAGATCTCCGGTAACTGGTTAACAGTATTAACAGTATTTCTAGTTCGCGCGCGCGGGGCGGCCCCTGGGGGTCCCCCGGCGAAAAGTACCCCGACCAACGCCCGGTCGCCGCCCGGTCGCCGCCCGACCGCCGCCCGACCGCCGCCCGACCAAGTCTACTCAGAGATGGTTTTCCTTCTGGGTGCGGCCTCTCAGGCTCCCCAGAGCGCGCTCAGAGTGCCCCAAGAGGCCCCCAAGACTGCCCAAGAGGCCCCCGAGACGCCCAAAGAGCGCTCGAAGACGCCGAAGATGACCCCAAGACGGCCCAAAAGGCCCCCAAGACAGCCCAAGAGGCCTCCAAGACGCCCCAAGAGCCTTCCAAGAGGCCTCCGAAGAGAGCCCCAAGAGGCCAAAATCGTTGATTTTCATTGGTTTTTTCGATGTTTTTTGTGTTCTGGCTTTTTCGGCTTCCGGACGCTCCAAGACGGCCCAAGAGGCCCCCAAGACCGCTCCAAGACGGCCCACGAAGCTCCCAAGACGGCGCCGAAACGACCCAAGAGAGCCCTCAAGACGGCCCAAGTGCCGCCCAAGACGGACCAAGAGGCCCCAAGACGGGCCCAAGAGGGACTCAGGAGGGATACCGAGAACTCAAAAATGGAGCCCTCCGTCCCAGAAGGCGCCCAGGAGGTCCCAAAGAGGCCCCAAGAGGCCTCCAAGAGGCCCCAAGATGTCGCCAAGAGGCCCCAGGAGACTCCCAGGAGGCCCAAAAGAAGCCCCAGAAGGCTTCAAACATGTCTCCCAGGCGCCCCCGAACGGCCTCTCAACAGACCCCAAGAGGCCCCCCAAAGAAGCATCTTGACGACGACTCTATTTCGCCCCATCGAGAGACGACCCCCAGGGAACTGCTTCACCATCAAAACTCCCCACGCAACGCGTCCGAACGACACCCGCCCCCAAGAGCGCAACATGGGCAACGAACACACAGACAAAAACCAGCGATGCCATATCACGGGCCGGCGGAATGAGCGAAGCGATTCAATAAAGAAAAATAGAACATGTTCAAAACAGCTCCCAAATGATCAATACACATACATATATAATATAATAATAATACTAAGACTATTTTTAAACAATTTTTAATATCCCCCTGTAGAGGGACAGGCCCGACTTATCCTCTTTCCTCACTCCCTCCCTCCCTCCCGCCCCCCTCGTTCCCTCTCCGTCCCTGGTCCCCTGGGCCGCCCATCCCGAACTGCTTGTCCGCGGCCACGTACGCGTGCCCCATCGACAGCATGTTCCAGACGTCCTGCGCTCTTTAGAGGCGAAGGTCTGAATCTGGCCCATACATATAGTATGCATCTCTCTATAATTTGTTAGCCAGCGTCCTGAAGCTGAAGCAGGCGGGTTTCTGAAGCGTGTGTTTTGCATGAATCGCGAGGATGTCTCGAGCGATAGCGCGATTCCCAAATAAATCGCCAGGACATCCACAGCGAGAGCGTCATTCCTGATCGTCGAGGGCACGGCGTTTGAATCAATTGTGAGGAAGCCCTACGCGAGAGCGCGATTCCAGTATACATTGTGGGAACTCCCGCGCGAGATCGCGATTTGGGAATAAAGTGTGAGAAAATATTAAGCGGGAGCCGCTGTTGTTGTAAACCGGGGGCCAGGGGCCAGTTTGGTGACACCTCACTCTCCCTGCAAAAAACGGATGCGAGCCCCAGGAGAAGCACTTTAATTGAAGCATGCAGTGGTTACCGCGTATGGGGGGGTCAACAATAATTGTTCTCCAGAAGCGAAGCCTTAACAACAACAGCAACAACACAATCAACAACAGCAACAGCAGCAACCACAGCAACAGCAGCAACAACAGCAACACCAGCAACAACAGCAACAACAATACCAACAGCAACACCAACAACAGCAGCAGCAGCAACAACACTAACAGCAACAATAACACTACCAATGACACTCACAGCAACACTCCGCAGCGCGCAATCCCTCTTCGGCCGCACACCGCGGACAGCGAGCGGCCGCTCGACCGCCTCGCTCCGACGTTTGGCACTTCGGGGAGCTGCGCTGCGGACAGTGCCGCTGCTGCTGCGGCGCCGTGCGCTCCCCGTGGCCAGGGCGGTGGTGTTGGCGATGGCAAAAAGAGAAAAAGGTACCCACACCTCTACCCTCCCCTTGCTTTCCCCCTGTTGGGCCTCCTGCGTGGCCCTCGTCGCCACCGCTGGATTCGCCTCGGAATCCTGGTCAGAACGCAACCCGGGAGAGGTCCGGGGAGTAGCGGCATCGGTGCCTTTTGGTTTCCCCAAGGGTGCCCTGGGTTTCTTTTAAGTCGAGCCTGTCCCTCTACAGGAGGAGAATTCAAAAATAGTCAACAAAATAGTCTGGGGACGATGTTCTGTGTATTTTTCTAAACAGTTGTTGCATCTGTTACGACTATTCTAAATTTTTTCCTCGGCAATTCCCCTGTAGGGGGACAGACCCGACTTAACGATGGTGTTGGCGATGGCAGCGGCGATAATGGCGGCAACGATGGTGATGAAGATGGTTGAAGGGGCGTCAGGACACACAAATAAATACACACAAATAAAAGGATTCCCCATATTTTCGTATATTTTCTGGGTTTCTGTCTTCCCCCCCACTCCCCATATTTTCCCATATTTTCCTGGGGGTCGACGACGTCCTTGGGGTCCTTATTTTGTCGGGGACGTCCTTGGGTTTTTTGGAAGCCTCTCTACGCTCAGAAATCACGCTCTCGTTTGGAAAATGTCCTCACGATGTATTTGGGAATCGCGCTGTCGCTCTAGAGGTCCTCGCGATTCATGCAGGACGTACGATTGAGGAACCCGCCTGCTCGACCCGGCCGCCTGGGCCCGCCTTCCCGACCCGCCGATTAGGGTCTACCCGCCCGATCTGCCGGGCTGGTTCTGCCAAGCGCTTTCTGCTCCTAGCCCCCACCTGCTACTCTCTCTCGTACTACATCATCCTCCCTCCCCCTTGTCCCTTCCTTCTTTCCGTCCTCGCTTCCCCTGCCTTAGAGGCTGCAAGAAATACACGTTGCAGGTAAGAAACAGATACCCCAAATGGGACACGATCGAAGACGAAGAGGGCGGGTACCGAGGGTTTGGGATATAGGTGAAATTACGCGCTCGCGAACAAGCGAAATCAAGACACAACAATGGTCATTTTCCGCTCGTGCCTCGAATCTCCCGGCTGGCCTGGCCTGGGTTCGATAGCTGGCTCCCCGCATCGGAGACCTACTTTCTCCTCCAAGCTCCTACTCCGCCCAGCGCCTGCCCCTTCTGCTGCAACCGCTCTCCCGAGGTGCCCCGCGACTGGACGGCTTCCCCCGGGGCCGCAGGCGTCCCGAGGAGGGGAGGGCGAGGAGGAGGAGGAGAAGGAGGAGGAGGAGGACGAGGAGGAGGAGGAGGAGGAGGAGGAGGAGGACGAGGAGGAGGTGGAGGAGGAGGAGGACGGGTCGCCCAGGCCCTTCGGAGAAGCGCTCCACCCCGGACCTGCTGCCCCGGCCTGCACGCTCGGCGGTGGACAAACCTCCCTTTCGTAAACCTCCCCTGAAAAGAGGAAAACGGCCTGGGACTGAAACCGACGGCCCTGGGCCCGCCAAAAAGGACGGCCGCGACGCCCTCTCGCGAACCGAGAACGGCCAATTCCTCAGTCGACGTGTCATGGCTTGGGCGTGGCTTGATGGGGGGGTCATCAATGGGGGGGTCAGAAACGGTCCCCTTTCGTGCCCCTTTCGGGCCCCTCTGGACCCCCGGGGGGCTCGTTTAGGTACCGTTTGGGTACCTTTTCGGACCACCCTCACCAACCCCCCATTTATGACCCCCCCATTACGCAACGCCCAAATGGCAGGAGGCCTGTCCACCTCCGGCACGCCGCCGCTCCCCCGGGCGCGGTGCCCCTGCGGCGCAGCCCTGCCCCCGCCCCCGGGCAGCGCGCTATAGCCGGGCCCGCCGAGGCCACGCCGCGAGCCCGGGGCCGGCCACGGAGCGGCTCCCCCGCCCGGTGTGCGGGGGGTGGCGGGCACCTGGCTCCTCCTCCTTCTCCTCCTCCTCCTCCTCCTCCCCCTCCTCCTCCTCCTCCTCCTCCTCCTCCTCCTCCTCCTCCCTCCTCCTTCTCCTGCTCCTCCTCCTCCTCCTCCTCCCCTCCTCCTCCTCCCTCTGCAGGGGGATGCTCGATGAAAAATCAAGACTGCCCCCCAAAATGCTCCAGGCATGCCCAACAATAATCAGGCAGTGGCCCCCGGACTGTGTTTGGACGATTTCTGGCTTTCAAGTCGGGCGTGTCCCCTCTGCAGGGGGATTCTTAACGGGCGAAGAACGGTGTAAAACAAGTGGCACGCGTGCCCTGGCTCTTGCACCAAGGAGCTGCTAGAGACAGGAGGCGTTCGCCTCCTTCATCCAGGAGTTTACTATGGTGGCCGTGGGGGGGAGGACGAACGACGAACGAACGAACGACGACCACGAACGAACATAAAGAGGTTCGAGCTCTAGAGCACAGCTGTGCAAGAGAATAAACTTTTCCGCTGTCGGGGGCGCCTGTCCCAGGGCGGCTGGAAAATTTATACTCTTAAGGTGGCACCGTAGGGGTATAAACTTTCAAGCCGCCCAAGTGCAGGTGTCCCCGACGGCGAAACAGTATATTTTATACCGTTCTTCGCTCGCTGAGATTTTCGATGCAAAATCAAGAATGCCCCAAAAATACTCCAAGCATGCCCAACAATAATCAAACCATGGTCCCCAGACTGTTTTTGGACTATTCCTGCGTATTCCTCCTGTCAGAAGGACAGGCCCGACTTAAACCTGGCTCCGCATGGCTCCGAAGCCCGGGTCGGCCGCAAGGAATCGGAGAGGATTGTCCCAGAGGAAAAACAAAACACACCGCAAACATAAACTTGCGGCGCTCCGCGCCGATTTCTTGGATCCGCGCTGGACCCCCCTCCCTGGCGCGCGGAACGCGCCAGGGGCGGTGCCGGAGGCGACGCCGGGGGGCCCAGGCGCGGATCCAAGAAATCCGCGCGGAGCGCCAAACTCTATACACCGACGCCTTTGTCTGGCCTCACACTGAATCTCGCACAGGAAAGCGGATCCTGGTGTACACGGGATCCTGGTGTATACATTATTCGTTCCTTCCCTGGGAAAACGGGGGCAGAAGTATACACCACACCACCCCGACGTCGTCCCCGACCCCCCAAAAGTCCTGGGATTGAAAAGCTGCCCGCCTCTGGTAATGCATGTGCCATCTGAGCTTTTTGTACCAGATGTGTTCGGCGGCTCTGGCCACCTCTGCTCCCTCGATGCCTCACTCGCACCTTCCTCACAGCACCGGGGCCACCGAGCTCCGTGAGCGTAGCGTCAGGTCGGACATACAGTGAAACATAGTCAGGACATTGCCTAAAAGGAGCAAAGATAAGAGTCAAGCCATAATCAAAGCATAATCTAGAATAGTCAAAACATAGTCTAAAATGAGCCAAGATCATCCAACAGTCGTCCTTTACCATTTTTGAAGATTCCCCCTGTAGGGGGGGGGACACGCCCGACACCAGCGTAGCGGAAGCCTCCACAGAGGGCAGCCTGGGGCGACGGGCCCGCGCCGCCCTCTCGGCTCTACGAGCAGAGTCCTGGGAACCCCCGCTTCTGCCAGCGCCCCCACCACAGGGGGAAAACAAACCTACCTCGCTTTTGACCACCCTCGCTTCCAAGAGATACCAAGCGATGCCAAACTACGGCCTGTACTGGTCAGGCCGCTTGACGAGGAGGCGCGTGGTATGACTTGGTGTTTCTTGGAAGCGAAAGCGGGGTAGATAATTCACGCTCTGACACCAGGCCCCAGGGAAGCGCGGCGCGCAGAAAAGCAGGCGGGACCTTCGTGGGCCCTGGCAGCGACAGGGCAATTTTTTATACCGGTTCCGTTTTGCCGTTTTTGTTGCCGGTTCCGACGCCGTTATGTTGCCGGTTCCGTCGCCGTTTTTGTTACGGGTTCCCGCTCCGGTTCCAATCCTGGAGCCAATTTTGTTGCAGTTTCCGGTCGCCGTTTTTTGCCGCCTCCAGTTTCAAGGGATATTTTTTCGGAAACTGTGAAAAAGAACGGCCCTGCCGCTTCCGGGGCCCACTAAGGGCGGGACTAGGCGGATGGGATCAGCCAGCACCGACTGGGGAACTCGGACTGGACCGTGCAGCGCATCGGGCCGCATCGGCGCGCAGCCCAGATCGAGCACGGCCGGCCCCAGCGGGATGCGCAACAGCGACACGCGAGCATCGGGCCAGTGGGGGGACGTTAGGGTCAGGTCGGGCATGTCCCCCTGCATGTCCCCCTGGGGAAAACATAAAACATACCCCAAAATGCTCAAACACATTCAACACATTGTAAAACAAATCGTCCCCAGACTATTTTGTGACTATTTTTGAATACTCCTCCTGTAGAGGGGCACGCCCGACGTAACGTAAGGGGGTTGGACGACCTCGGGCATCGAGCTGGAATCGTCCTCGAAACGTCGCCGATCTTACAGATCGGCGGTGAGGCCCCCGATGGGGGGGAGGAGGAGGAGGAGAAGGGGGAGGGGGAGGGGGAGGGGGAGGGGGAGGAGGAGGAGGAGGAGGAGGAGGAGGAGGAGGAGGAGGAGGAGGAGGAGGAGGAGGAGGAGGAGGGAGGAGGAGGAGGAGGAGGAGGAGGAGGAGGAGGAGGGGGGGGAGGGGGAGGGGGAGGGCGAGGGGGTCGCCTCTCCGGGCACGTTGGGAAGCCGTCTCGGAGGCCTGCCTCTCTCTCAAGAGTAAGGAACAAACATCTGGACGCCCGAAACGGGTACGGTCGGGGCGTTGACCTAAGGAACCCTAACTAAGGAACGAGGCCCCTTTTTTTCCATAGGTCAACCTTCGATTTCCTGCCGAAAACATAAGGAAAGCCTGAGGCAAGCTGTGAAACACTTCAGGAACGCGGAGCCCCTCCCCAACGAAAAGGGTTCCTTGTTCAGGGCCCCGGCTGTAGGGAAAGAATGGGCACAATGCCCAACAACAAATGTTGTCCCGAACCAATGGCGGCCGCTGTTGGGCAGGCGGCCTTCCGTCTCCAGCGGACACGGCCGCGGCGGCGCGGACCAGCGAGCCCGGCTCAAAATGAACAGGAACTGCTTCTGGGCATTGTGCCCATTCTTTGACGAACCGACAACAAACACCCATACCCATAGGGGGCTCGGAGAGGGCTATGGGTGCGTGTTGTCGGATGGGGGTCCCCCGCTCGAACGGGAGCTTCCCCAGGGTCAGACAACCCGCATCCATACCCATAGCCAGTCCTCCTCGCAAGGACCCCCCTATGGGTATGGGTGTGCGTTGTTCGTTCGTCAATTCTTTCCGCACCCGGCATGAACAGGAAACCTCGGAGGTCCGCGCGGGGACTTCCCGGATCGGCGCTGGACGGCCGCTGCCTGGCGCGCGGAGCGCGCCAGGGCGGGGCGGCGCAGGAGGCGTCCCCCGGGGAGGCTCCTGCGCCGCTCCGAGAGAAACCCGCGCGATGCTCACAGTGTTGATGCTGAAAGGTGTACAGTCGGGGCGTTGACCTACTGTAAGGAACCCTAAATAGGGCACGAGGCCCCCTTCTTCCATAAGTTAACCTCCGATCTCCCATACAAACCCCTAAGGGGAGCCCGAGGCAAACTGCAAAACAGTCAGGGAACACCGAGCCCCTCCCCAACGAAAAGCGTTCCTTCTTCAGGGCCCCGACTGGAGGGGTCATTCCCAGAAGGCCGCCCAACCTGCTCCGCCCCCCGACCCAGGGCCCCCCCCACCCACCCATTGTCTGACGCGAGCGCCGTCCTTCCATTCTCCGCCCCCCGGATCCCCCCCTCCCCAGACCTCCTCGCGGCGCTCCGGGGCACAAGCGCTAAGACGGAGGGCTCTGCTGGCACTCCTCGGCTCCCCAGGCCCCTTTTCGAGGCCCTGGGACCGCCAAAAACGGTTCGGGATGATCAATCGGTCCCAAGTCGGGGATCTTCTGACCCGGGTCAATCCAGACCCGGGTCAATCAAGCCTTGCAGAATCCTACAATATCCTGCACCCAAGACCGGGTCAATACGAAAAATCCGGCAACATCCTGCAAGATCCTGCACCCCAATCCGGGTCAATGCGACCCAGGCCCTGCAGGATCCTGCAAGATCCGGCGTTCTGGCTGACCCCCGTGTACATTAACCCCCATCTCTTGAGCCCCGGCCAGGGAAGGGGTCCAGACAACTGGAGAACGACTTGGTGAAGAAATCGCGACGGTGGAGGCTTAGGAACAGCGGTCGGTACGGGCGGTGGGGCGCGGGGCATCGCCTTGCGGTAGGCCATGCAGATGGCCCGGTCCCTGAAGATCTCGTAGCTCTCCGCCGACAAGCCAGACCTCCACTCGCGTTCGCCCTCCCCGCCTGCGTTTGACAGCTCGTGTTCTCCCCTGACAAGGGCGTTCCGTGCACGCACCTGGAAGCCACCAGTCCACTTCAGCCTTTTGCAACATTCTTTTTCCTCCTTCGAGTAAGGGATCGACTGCAGAATTGGTTCAGCCCAAAATCGAAGTGTCCTTCGAACCTTCGGAAAGGAACCTGAAATGTCCGTAACTTCACGAACATCCGACGCTTCTCTCCGTGGATTCGACGAGAAACAAAGTTTCGGGAAGGAGGTCGAGCGAGCCCAAAAGGGACTCGGAGGAAGGAGACGGAAGAGGAGGAGGAGGAGGAGGGGGAGGAGGAGGAGGAGGAGACCAGCGTAGGAGAGGTTCGTCCCGCCAGCCTATCGCCGCGGCTGGCGGCCATTGCCGCGCCCAAGCCGCAACGTGGGCGCGTCCGCCGAGGACGCAGGCTGCGTGAGGGGGAGAGAGTCGGGAGAGACAGCAGCAGCAGCACCAGGGAGGCTCACCCGAGGACGAGGAGAGCGAGGAGGGTGAGGACTGCGGCCAAGAGACTCCGTCATGGTGGGGACCATGGGGGCACTGCAAGCCCCAGAGGAGTCGAACACAAAGTGAGAGCGATCAGTGATCGAGGAGGTGGCGGTGGATGACGCACAAGAGAGATGACAAGGCGAAGGACACGAAACGCACAGAGGAGCAGGGCGGTCACGGTCAGAAGAGAGCTGCGATGCCGACGAGCTCGACAGGGTGGAAATCGAGATCGAAGGGCTCCGTCTCTGGGTCTGGGAAGGAAATTCCTGCTCATGAGACTAAACGTCCTCAGGGTCGGTAGCAATCTCGGTAGGGGGCGTCGACGGCGAGGAAACAGCAGGAGTGAGGCCACCAGCAGACATCGGCGGATGTGGCGACGTAGATCGGCTTGATGAGACAGAGACAGGTGGGGTCAGCCTCGGCGAGCGACTCGAAGATGAGCTCGTAGAGGAAGCTGAGGAAGACGAGGGTGAGGGACACGTACGACGCGGGCGAAGTCGCACTCGATCACGGGCCGAGATCCCAGCTGGCCGCGCCAATGCAGCCGAGCGCACCCCAGCCAAAGCACAGGAGAAGGCGGACTCAGCCGAAAGCGGCCAGCCCTCCACGCACTTGGCCGCGTTGTAGGCCGCGTACGCGACCGCGAGGAAGTGAAAGGCGGGTAGATTGGGCTCCAGCAGCCCCCATCGATGAAGCACGGGAAGAGGTAGAGGGCGCGCCAAGGCACGACGTAGAGCGTTGTGGAAGGGGCGGCATCGGGCGTAGTGTCGAAGGGCGTCGGGGCAGCCAGGACACCCGAAGGCACAGCGGCGCTTGCCAAGGGGGTGCAGGATGCGGTACGACGTCATCCAACCATCAGCCCAGGTACGGAGCGCAGCCCAGGCCCAGGAACAGGGGCAGGAGGCCAGCGTGCTCGCGATTGAGTCCCACGGAAAGGAGGCGACCAGAGAGGCGTGCCGTGGGAGCAGCTTGGCGAGGCGCGCCTGGAGCAGGGGCACCAGCGGCGAGATGGCAGGGCCAAGAGCACGTAGAGCAGCATGAGCAGAACGTTGAGGGCGAGGGCGATGAGCCGCTGCGTCGGCCAACGCGGCACGCGCCGCGACCGCGGCCACTGACGGCCAGTCAGGAGACCAGCACGGTGACGGCGAGCCAGTGCGGGTACCAGCAGCCGCCCGCTGGAGGATCTCCACGAACGCCTCCGAGCGCCAGAAGTGCGGGTAGCATCTGCCAGAGCCAACCATCTCCAGAGTGCACCAGTCAGGATGAGCAGTCACATGATGTCGAAGCCGATTGTGGATGTCGTTGAACTGCGGGAACGTATGAAGGGCTGCGCGGGCAAGCGCCGCACATCCCATAAAGGCCCAGCGGGTGATGCGAGGACCTCCCCAGGCGTGAAGTAGAGACCAGCACGAAAGCGGGAACGTGCCCAGGGCTACCCGGAAGACCTGCGCCAAGGTCATGAGTTCCAGGCGAAGGACGGCAAGAGGCATGTGGCAGAACTGGGCGACATACGATAATGTCGGAACCGCACGTGTGCAGTAGAGTATGGCCGATAGACTGGGCGGGGTTGTCCCACGGCCGATAGCTTGAGCCCGATGCTGTACCTTGGCCAATGGAGCACGCCACTGTCGTTCAACGGTCACTGAGGGACCAAGCCAGAGCCCAAGATATTGAAGTTCCTCCACGACGCCAAAGGAGGCCCACTCAGGGACCCATACTCGAAGTTGTTCGGCCACAGCAGCAGCCAGCTCCTCAGAGAAGACGCCCGAGAGGGGGACCAGGAGGCACTTGGAGAGCTTCAGGGAGAGGTTAGCGAACGTTTCAGCCAAGACCATCACCCGATGCACAGGGACGAGGTCCGCCACAGACCGAGTCGCACCGCCGATGTCGTCAGCGCAGGCCCGAACTATCCCGCGACCAGAGGGCTCCAGGGAGAGCACTAGGTCCTTGAGGAAGGCAGAGGTAGCGAGGGCGAAGAGAGAGCCCGAGAGCGCACAGCCCTGAATAATCCCACTGCGAATCCAGAATATCGGCACAAAGTCCCCATTCACCGAGGCCGCGCCCTGGATGGCCGAGTAGAGAAACGAGACGAAAGCCAAGAAGGACTCGGGAAGCCCCAGTACCTGAAGAACAAACGCCATAAACTCCTGGTTGAGTGAGGGGAACGCCTGGCCGAAATCGAGCGAGAAGAGAAGCGGGATGTCGGACGATCCAGGAGGGCCCACCGAAAGCTCGCGAGCGTGCGCATCCAGCTCCAGAATGTTGGCTCCGAAGTTGCGACCACCGACGAACCCTCGTTGGCAGGGCGGGACGATATGATGGATGAGAGGTTGGAGAGCACGATTCATGACGGATGACAGCAACTTGACGTCTGTGTTTCGTAAACCAAGGACGCGAACCTTGTCGGGCGAACGAGTGCACTCCCCATCACGCAACTCAGCGTCTGTGACGAGCTTCGGGAGAAAGGCCTGGATAGTGATAGAGGAGCAATCAAAGAGAGCTTGACCATCACCAATCCAACCGAGGGCATCCATCAACACATGAAGACCAAACGGCAGCGCTTCCCACGAGGCGTAAGGTAGGCCGTCTATGCCAGGGGCGGAGTCCTGGGCCGCGTGGAGGGCCCGCCGAAGCTGTGCCAAATTCGGGGGCGGGAGATCGATGGTGTTCACGGGGCCGAGCCAGGAGGGGATATAAGCCCGAGCCGCATCGGTGTCCCAAGACTTCCGCGAGAAGACGGGTTTCCAGTAGGACGCCAAGGCCTCCACGCGCTCGACAGGGTCAGAAACCAGACAATCATCCGATACTCGTATCGACGACAACGCCAAAGAGCGGGAGAATGGTGACCAGAGCCTCGCCTTCCTCTCCAACGCACGCAACTGAAGACGGGTGGCGCGAACAGAGGGTTGGCGAGAGAGTTGAGATTCAAGAGCACGCCGACGCACCTCAGCAGCTTGCCGTTGGATGGATGAGGCCCATTCCGAAAAAGACGGGGGGTGGATGAGTGCAACCTCCGAGAAACGGACGGTGATGTGATCTCGGACGCGAGGGTGAGATTCCAGCATCCGAAGGGCCAACTTGACATCCTGCCTCCAGACCACGCGCGAGATCATTCGCGCCACTTGCAACAAAGTGTCGAGACTGTCGGGATTGTCAATAAAGAGCGAGTCGCGCACCTCTGACGCGGCAAGACGCATGAGATGTTTGTAATGCTCTAGCTTGAAAGGTGGCGACATGCTGTCCCATGAGGTAGAGGCCACCAACCCGCGTAGTCGTCGAACGAAGCGAGGATCGCGACAGAGGCGGCGTGGGATAGGGCGAGCAGTAGGCTGACGAGCAGAGCGGGAAGCAAGAGAGACGATGACCGCAGTGTGATCAGAGATTTTCGCATCCGAGAGCGCCGCCGCCGACCCCATCGTGGCGGAGGTGAGATTCATCTGGCGCACCTGCCAGCCCTGCAAGGAGAGAAAGACGCGGTCTAGGATGCTGGCCTTGCCCGCTGCCCGCTCGAAGTGGGTCGGCTCGCTGCCCTGGGCCTCCAGCATGTCGTCGAGGATGGGCCTCCAGGCAGGTGCGGCTGCGTGGTGCCGACGGCCACCGCGACGAGAAGCCGCAACTGGTGCCGGCAGAGACATGGCGGACTCCTCAGAGATGTTGAAGTCCCCATTCAGAATCACCAGGACACGCTGTGGCTCGGCACGAGCCTCCGCGAGAGCAGCACGAACAGCGTCACGAACTCTTGTGATGGCAGTGGTCCCCAGCTCGTGGTTGTGGACATTGAAGAGGTAGACGCAGGCGCGGGTCGCGCGCAGGGCAACCATCAGCACACGTCCAGGGATCAGAGGATGGGACTCCACACGCACGGGATCCTCAGGTAGACGCTCGAGAGGAGGGATCAGGACTGCGACGCCACCACGCGCACGGTCAGCAGGTTCGGACCCACAGAAGCTCGAAAGAACGGTGGACCGCGGGCACACCCGATGCACGAAGTGTTCCAGCTGGAGGGCGTCGTGGTGCACCTCCTGCAAAGAGACGATGGACTTGTCGAGGCCGAGCTTGGAGAGGTAGTTAAGCTTGATGGCTGCTTTGGCCCCAGCAGCCTGAAGAAGGGCCCTGCAGTTCCAAGTAACCACTCGCAAGGCAGTGGCCGAACCCGAGGAACAGGACCGCGAAGACGAAAAGAGGGACAGCGCGTCAAAGACACCACACGGGCTCGTCCGCCGAGGCCGTGAGGAAAGAAGTGAGCTGCATGGCGCGGGCCTTGGCGATGTCGTGGCGCTCCAGCTTGGCGACGTCCCAGCGCAGGGTAGGAGGAGCATCCCCAGCCCCCACCTCGACCTTGAGAATCTTGTCCCATCCGATGGAGAGGAACCCGCGGTCCCGATCTGCGAAGAAGCGCAGCGACGAGAACTCGGTGGTGAAGGCGGCGCGGCACTTCCTGAGGACGTACTCCATCTTGACCTGCTTCGGCGACTTGTCGGGGCCCATGTGGACGCGCGTGCGCTCGGACAAGCCGGGGAGGTCGGCGAAGAAGGCTTTCCACCCGTTCTCATCCTTGAGGGCTGAGAGGGCGCGCAGGACCTTTCTTGATGCTGGTTGCACCATCCCCTTGAAGTGAACCGCGAAGCGTTTGCACGGGAGGGTGCCCTTGGAGACGATCTCGTACTCGCTGGAGTCGAAACCCGTCTCCGAGAGGAAGTTCTGAAGGCAGGCGGACATCGCCTCGAGAGAAATGGCACGCTGGGCCACCGCGATGAGGAGGGTGGAGTCGGCGTCTCTGTCAAAGCCTGTGGGGATCTGTGGAGGAGCCTGAGGGCGTTGTTCAGCGACAGCAAGATGGCGGCGCAGCTCAACCAATTCAGCACGAAGAGCTGAGAGCTGGTCGTCGTGATCACCCAGCCGCCGTTCACATGCGTCGATCTGCTTCTTGTGGTCGTCGGTCTGCGACTGGAGCCTGCGAGACAGGGCATCAACCTGGGGACGAACCACGTTCTGAACCTGTTGGTCGATCGCCGCGGACTGACCAGAGACTTGCTCCCGAAGTTTGTCGATGGACCCCAGCAGCACCGAATGGTTCTCAGCAGCGGTGGCCCTGATGGACTCGGAGACGGTTGAAGTGAGAGCAGCTCGCATGGAATCGAACTCGTCGCGGCACAGCTGGCGAAGGTAGTCGTCGGACGACCAGGCGTCGTTCCCGTCAGCCGCCTCTGCAGCAGAATGATCATGAGCAGCACGTTTGCGAGGAGGTGGCACAGCGCCTTTGCCGCCTTTCCCACGGCCAGCACCCAGCTCCTGCGATGGGAAGGTCGCCGCGAGATCGAACTGCTCGACCAGCGACGCGGGGACCTCATCACCGTGGGCGTCATCGGCCATGCCGAGAATGCGAGGAGCGACGGGTGACTGCGGTGTGGGGGCCCAACTCCCACGGAAGAGGCGCAAGCAAAAGACTGCCAGGCACAGGGGCCTTGCTCGCCGCGGGCCAGCGGTATCCGTGGATGCCAATGCGGGCTCGGCCCGCAGCAGCATGGGACTTGAGCCAAAATGGCTACGGAGGAGGAGGAGGAGGAGGAGGGGGACGAGGAGAAGGAGGAGGAGGAGGAGGAGGAGGAGGAGGAGGAGGAGGAGGAGGAGAAGGACGACGACCACGACGGCGATTGTCCGATTTGCTGGCTCTGCTGCTCCTCTGTCTGCTAACACCTCGCCTGCCGCTGCTGCGGCTCCTCCGCCCTGGCCGCCCGCCTGTCTCCTCCCACGCCCAGGGGGCGAGCCTCTCCAGCAAGAAGTCCTCCTCCTCGCACTCCTGACGACCGGACAGCGCTCAGAAGAGGGGCACGAAAAGGGGCGGGAGGACGAGGACGAGAGTGGCAATGGGCCCCCTGCGCATCGGTGGAGCTGCCCTCCCTCCCCCTTGCTCGGGCACTGCTCATCGGGGGGATCCTTTCCCTCCTCCCTTCTCCCTCTTCCTGCTCCCCGTATCAATGTTTGCTCAGGATAATTATTTCCGAAGGGAAACGACCCGATACCCCGGATCTGGGGCCAGATTCCATACCTCCCCGAAGTCTGCCCTTTGAGAGGGCAGTATCAATAGCACCATGGCGCCCGCAGAAGGCGGCGAGGGGGGGGGGACGAAATCCCCTGGTCGTCACCCCGCTCTCACGAAGAGGGGATCGACTACAGAGTGCAGTTCCCCCAGAAATGCTACCTTGGTCGAATCTGCTGCCACAGGAGCGCAGAAGGCCCATACATCTACGATCTACGAACATCCGACGTTCTTTCTTCCCCACAGAGTCGGCGGGAATCTCAATTCTGGGCCAAGTCAATTCTGTACAGCACGGGCTCGACCACAAGAACCCTTCCACAAGTAGGGAAACGAGCTCTATACACCGACGCTTTTTCCAACCCTGCGCTGAAATTCGCACATGAACGCGGATCGTGGTGTATACGGGATCCTGGTGTATACATGTTTCGCTGTTTCCCTTGGAAAACGGGGGAGAAGTATACACCACACCATCCCGACGTCGTCCCCGACCCTCAAAAAAGTCCTGGGATTGAAACAACACCGCCACTGGTAATGTAGATGTTCCAGTTTCCCAACAAGAAACCCAACCCCGAGACCCCAGGACGCCGATGGATTCTTGGCGTGGGAGCGCCACACTGTCCACAGCGAGACCCTCCACACCCAAGAAACCCAGGGTACACTTGGGAAAGCCAAAAGGATACAGTCGGGGCGTTGACACAAGGAACCCTAAATAAGGAACGAGGCCCCTTCTATCCACAAATTGAACTTCGACTCCCCTATGCAGAACCAAAGGGAGAATCCCGATGCAAACTGTGGAGCTAATCAAGGAACACGGAACCCCTCCCCAACGAAAAGGGTCCCTCCTTCAGCGCCCCGACTGTACCGACACCGCTACCACCCGGACCTCGCCCGGGCTGCGTTCTGACCAGGATCTCGAGGCGAAGACCCAGCGGTGGCGACGCGGGCCGCGCAGGAGGCCCCAAAAAAGGGGAGGCGAGGGGAGGGCGGAGGCATTGGGCACCTCCTCCTCCCCCGACGCCCTGGAGGCACGCAGGGCGCCTCTTGGCCAGGGTCTCCGCCGTGAGTCCGCTCCGCGGTCGCCTCGCCGCTCGACTCTGCCGCGCCCCCGGCCGCACGCGACTTGCTGGGGCGCGGCCGCGCGCACAAGGCCCGGCGAGGCGGCCGCGGCGGCCGCCGCCCTCCGCGGGCGCCGAGGAGCGGGGAGCGGAACGGCTCGGCATGGCGGGCACGGGTCATGCGGAGGCCTCCTAGATTTGGGTCGGGCATGTCCCCTTGCAGGGAGGTTTTGGGCTCAACGAAGATCCGACAATGGCAAACACAACTGCTCAAAACATAGTTTCCCAACTATTTTTTTAACTATTCTCGAATCTTTCCCCTGTAGAGGGACAGGCCCGCCTTGATCCTAGATGGGGACGGAGTAGACAGGGTCGGAGGATGGCGCCGCATCGACGATGCATGGCCAATGTATCGCCGATGCATCGGCGGTGCATCGGCCATGCACTGGCCACGTCGGCGGTGCATCGGCGACGTCGGCGTGGAGAAACTTGGGCCCCACATCGAGCCGCATCGCTGATGCATCGCCGATGCATCGGCGATGCGGCTCGATCCTCCGACCCCATCTACTCGGACCCCATCGAGGAGGCCTAGAACTCACCCCAGAATTGATTTTGTCGTCGAGCCAATGAGACTAATGATAAGGTAGTATGGTCCGTAGCTCTGCGGAGCATTCCACGTATGTTTCGCAGATTCGACGGGACATCCATTTTTGGGTAGATCGATTCTGCAGTCGATCCCCTACTCGAGTTCTCTTTGTTTGGTCCAGTGCAGGGCGTGTCTCACCTTAGGGGGCAACCGGCGGTGGAGGGGGCGGTGAAGAACGGTGCGCCTTTCGTGCACCTCCGGGGCCCCTTCCCGGGCCCCCTTAGGGCCCCTCCTGCAACCTTCGACTCCCTCCATAGGCCTCTATGTATGGGCCGTCGCATCGCACCGCGTCCTGCAACCCTCGATTTCCCCCTCCCCCCAAACCCCGCACGCCGCAGTTTTTCAAAACGTCCCTCGCACGTTTCGTGGCCCTATAGGGAGCTCCACCGAAGGCCCCAGTGGCGGTGCGCACATGCGCCCCCGCCAGACATGTCAGCGCACCCCTCACGCGCTTCGTGGCCCTGAAGGGGGAGCTCCACCGGATGCCCCTGTGGCGGCGCCCACATGCGCCCGCGCCACCAATTTCGGCACAGCCCTCACACGCTTCGTGGCCTCATATGGAGCTCCACCGAAAGCCGAAGGCCCCTTTTGCGGTGGCCGCGTTCGTCCGCGCCATCCATTTCGGCACGCTCCTCACACGTTTCGTGGCCCCGTCGGGAGCCCTCCTCAAAATCGATACAAAAACCAAGTCGGGAGTGCGCCCTGGCCAGACGAGGAGGGCGACGATCCGGAGGACGAGGACGACGAGGAGGAACAGGATGAAGGAAGATCCGAAGGAGGACGAGAGGAGGAAGAGGAGACTCGGCGTGTCGCCTGGACCCCTGCGGGGCACCTGGCGCGCGTCGCGGGGACTCCGCGTTGCGCTCTGCCCAGAGCCGCGGTCACCAGGGCGCGAGAGCACAGAGGGGGGGAACATCTGACAGCCCATCATCCCGCTCCGCTCCCCCCCCCCTTCCACCCCTGCCTGCACTGGTCCGCGCCTCGTTCTCACTGCGGCGCACTGCCTATGACAGCTACCCGGGGTTTGCCTGCCCCCCTCCTTCGTCTCATCTCCCTCGCGGTACTCGCAGCTGCAAATGGTTGGGTCTTTTTTGTTTCTTCTTTCCACGACCGAGCTCTCGCAGCACGAGCATCCTGCCGACTGCATCGAGACTCCTGGCAGGTCCCTCACGCCGAAGAGTGCAAGAGGCTCCTTGGCCAGACCAGCGAGCAAGAAATGCAGCGCTCCCTGGCACTGCTGCGTCGAGAGGCGAAGGCTACAATCAAAAAAGTGGCCTGTGCACCGTGGCTTGCTTCGCAAAGCTCTCCAGAGACGGCTCACACCGGCCCAGAGACAGCACCACGGCGAGCCACAGCACATCCTCATTGCGTGAGGGGGTTATGCTGGTTCGGAGCCCCTCCGAGCTCAAAGCAGGGTGGCAGAGGGCCACGTTGGAGCCCAAGTAGGGTCCAGGGTGTTGTGCGGGCGACGAGCACTTTCTTCGAGGTCACGCAACCTGGCCGTCCTGCTGGCTTACGCAGCAAGAGCATCCGCAAGGCTCCACCGACCCTCGTGGCAGGTCCCTCACGCCGCAAGAACCATAGCGCGATCAAGCACAGCGTTCCCCGGGACCAACAGCTGCAGCCAAGCATGCGGCCCGAGCGCCGAAATTCTGTGGCCATTTAAACCGAGGGACTCGCAGTAGGCACAGGCCAGATGGCCATCTAAAAAGCAAAAATGCAGGGCGCGACTCGGCCTCGTTTCGTATTTTTTCGTCACTGTAAAAGAGGCTACACGCAAGATGGCGGGCACGATCGCGAGAGTCGCTGCAGGCCGCTCCAAACTGTGTGAGGACCGAGTGCGCGTATCAACGCAGCATTAGGCTTCCTGCCGCGAACGAACATGAAGAAGAGTGCTCCTCACGGGCGGGTGTGGACCCGACCCGCTCTACCTGGTGTGATTACGCGGCAGCGTCAGTCAACAAAAAAACGCGCGGCTTGTCCGACCACTCGACCTGTTATGTCCTGCTCGCCGTTGCCTCCTTTCCTCTCCTCCGTTCCGCACCCTGTTGGCCCTTCATCTCTACAGAAGGTGAACCTACCCTTTCTCCAGAGCAAGCGCTCGGAAGGTACTAAGGCCCACGCGCACGAGAGAAAGCAGAACTCGGAAACTACTGGAGGTGAGCGCGCAGGCCCCACGGAGGCTTGTCACACTGCATCAACTTAAAGCGGCTGGCACCTGGAACCTTCGCGCGCGCACGCTTAGTTGAAGATGCTACAAGTCCTGGCTCATGCAGGACGCAGCCTAAATATGCGGGCACCGCGAGCGGTTGAGCAGGACCAGCTTTGCTCCCCAAAAACGAGAGCAAGGGTGCAGGGGTGTGGACGTGGGAATCCAAAGTTGCCTAAGGCGTGAAATGATTTCAACATACTGCCAATGTCCAAAGTGTCTAACTCGCAGAGAACCCTACGGGCACCTCAGACGACCCTCAGTTCATGAACAGCGTCCCTGTTTGCCGTTCTGAAAGCTCCAGACACCAGCCTCAATTGCTACATCGAGCTCCAGCTCCGAAGGTATCGACTAAGTGCTCGTGCGCGGCCGCGCGCGCTCTGGGCTCGCAACATGGCGGGACCTGGGCTGAAAGGCCCGGCTGCCGTTTCCTCCAGGATGGCACGCCACCGCCGGCTGCTGTGGCAAAACGGACATCAAGACGTCCTTACGGAGGTGCATGGTCTGATGGTCCGTGTCCCCGGCGTCCCCCAGGATGGCGCGGAGCTCGTCCGCCGGGACGAACAGCGCATCGAGCAGCAGGGCTGCCCACTCGTCGTTGTCGGCGATCGTCCTCGCCCTCTGGTCGCCCCGCGTCTCAAGCGCGGAGCTGCCCATCAATCCTCGCGGGTGCTTTTACCAGCCTCGAACTTATCCCTATCCCCAAGATTGACACGCCAAAAGGCGATGACAATCTGAGGGATGCGCCCTAAAAGGGTGAGGGAATCCCTGAGATTGGCATCGCGATGAGGAGATGCCCAGCATACAGTCGAGGCGTTGACCTAAGGAACCCTAAATAAGGAACCAGGCACTTTTTTTCCATAAGCTCAACCTCGATGTTCCATGGAAAACCTCAGGAAAACCCGAGGCAAACTTTGACACAATCAAGGAGCACTGGGCCCCTCCCCAACGAGAAGGGTTCCTTCTTCAGCGCCCCGACTGTAGGGATAGGGATCTGTTCCAGGCTGGCAGTGCTTGTCGAGGGCGTCGGGCTGCCGCTCCCCGCGCGGCGGCGGGCACGTGCGGCGGCGGCGGCGCGGAGGCCGCAGCGCGTGCGCCGCGGCGGCGTCGGAGTCAGGCCCGCCCATGGCCGCGCGGGGAGGCCTGGCGGCGCGCACGCTCGGCGCGGGGCGGGAGCGAGCCCAGCTGGAGCTAAACTGGCTGCGGAGCCAATGGCTGGGCTCTTGGTCCGGCGACTGATTTTGTTTCGCTTCTCGCGGGACGACCCACAAGGCTCCTCGATGGTCGTCGCCGAAAAAAAAACGCCCATGTCCGAGCGACGCCAAGCTCGAGGCGAATGCAAGCAACCCCCGCTCATGAGCAGCGCGACGGCAGAAGCAGGCAGCAGCGGCGGCACATCCTGCTGCTCTTCCTGCCCTTCGTCCGCGTCCTGGTCCTGGTCCTCTTTCGCCTGCTTCTGCTGCTGCTGCCGCTGCTGCTGCTCCTTCTTCTCCTGCTTCCTCCTCCTCCTCCTCCTCCTCCTCCTCCTCCTCGTATTGTTTTTCCCCCCACATGCATGGTGGGGTTCTGGTGTTCTTCCTTCCCGCGTCCCACCAGCGACGCTCCCATACACACCTCACCTCCATCATCACCTCATCCCCACAGACCCACGCACAGACACACACACACACAGAGCTTCTCGCTCGCGCCTCCTCCTCCTGCTCCTTCTCTTTCTCGTGCTCACTTTCAATAGCGCCGACCGCACATATACACAGCACACATACTGGGCACCCACAGCGAACAACACTAACATAACACGTACTGGGCACCCACATGATGCAACACTAACAACGCCACTGCACGCGTGGCGTGTTCACTGCATCATACACCCACGGCGCATGCGCCACATACTGGGCACACACATGAGACACACGTCCAGATACAGCCGCACCCGCATCATACACACGACACGCACACCACACAACACATACGCGCAATATCAGCAGGGCGTGGAGGGCGTGGCGTGGCAGGCGTGGCATTTCCCCGGCGCCACACGGGAGGCTCGCAAGGCGTGGCAGGCGTGGCATGTCCTCGACGCCACAAAGGGGGTGCGGTTGGGGCGGGGGCGCTCTGCCTTGCAGGCCCGCAGGGAATGGCAGGCGTGGCGTTTCCTCGACGCCACAGGTGGTGCGGTGGGGGTGGGGGCGCTATGTGTTGCAGGCTCGCAGGGCGTGGCAGGGGTGGCATTTCCTTGTCGCCACAAGGGGTGCGCTTGGGGTAGGGGCGCTATGCGCTGCAGGCTCGGCAGGCGTGGCATGTCCTCGACGCCACAAATGGGTGCGTTCGGGGTGGGGGCGTTGTGCACTGCGGGCTCGCAGGGCGTGGCATGCGTGGCATTTCCTCGGCGCCGAAGGGGGCGTGCTGGGGGTGGGGGCGCTTTTCGTTGCAGGCTCGCAGGGCGTGGCATTTCCTCGACGCCACAAGAAAGTGTGCTGGGGGTGGGGGCGCGACGCGTTGCAGGCTCGCCGGGCGTGGCAGGCGTGGTCTGTCCCCGATGCCACAGGGGGTGCGGTTGGGGTGGGATGGCTGTGTACTGCAGGCTCGCAGGGGGTGGTATGCGTGGTCTTTCCTCGACGCCACAGGTGGTGCGTTGGGGTTGTGGGCGCGATGCGTTGCAGGCTCGCAGGGCGTGGCAGGCGTGGCATTTCCTCGACGCCACAGGGGGTGTGCTGGGACTGGGGGCGCCATGCGTTGCAGGCAGGCTCGCAGGGGGGAGTATGCGTGCTTTTTTCCCCAACGCCACAAGAGGTGCGCTGGGGGTGGGGGCGCGATGCGCTGCAGGCTCGCAGGGCGCGGCAGGCATGGCAATTTTTTTGCGCCACAAAAGGGGTGTGCTGGGGCTGGGAGCGCTATGCGCTGCAGGCTCGTAGGGGACACGAATTGGGCAATTGAGGCCACGCTCCGGGCTTTCTGTCGAACTGTCCTGGCGCATGTGACACAGCGTGGCAAGCGTGGCACTTTCCAACTCCACTCTGCAGCCCCAGGAGCTCTCGACCTCGTCGCGGGTGCCTGGTTCGTGCTCCCAAGGCGCGCTGGCGCGACACTTCCATGACCCTTGAGAGCTGCGCATGGGGCGGGGGGTGCGCGGGCGAGAACTCGCGTCTGATCCAGAGCCGTAAACATCTTGGTTCGAGCCGGCTCGGCGCGCCTGCGCTCTCACGCAGGCGCGCCAGTAATCCCATTTCAGTGCAGGAATCGCCCCGCCTGCTTGCTGCAACCATCACAACATCGCCGTGGACGCGCTGCCGCCTCCGTGTCTGGCGATGAAAGCTGCAATGGTTCAGATGGGCGGCGAGGCAATAATGGAGACCTCGCGCAAATGCGCCAACGGAGTGGTGCAATCCGCTTTGAATGCGTACCGCCGCCAGCTTAATAATTGGTGGCCCGATGCGCTTTACGCGAAGTACTCCGAGATGAATGGCGACGGCAAGAGGCAGTGCCTGGTGGCGTACCTGCGGAACCCTGCGTCGGGCGGATTCCCCCAGGAGGCTCTTTTAGATCAGACGGAAGAGAATGGGAAGACGACGGCGGCCCGCCAGCGAGGGCTCGACGAGCGCGCGAGGCCGGCAGCGCGGCAGCTGACACAGAGGTCCCTTCCCTTCCGCAGCGCATGCCGCGCCTGTGAAGGCTACACCGACGAAGGCCACGCCAACGAAGGCCCCGCCCGTGCAGACGTGCACTCCGCAGCGGCCGCAGGCTGCAGGTCCGCTCCGCGAGCACCCCCCGCACTCAGCGTCCTCCTGGGCCCGCGGGGGCGGACGACCGTTGGTTGCGAGGACCTTGGTCACGGAGCCTTCGGCACTCGGTCGCGGTGACCCGTTTGTGCGCCCTGGCGGATCAGCAAACTGTCGGATGGTACAAAAAAACTCGCTTGCAGAGAAACGAGCGGATTATCCACAGCACCGACCGTCCAAAAGAGGTGCCGATTCCAACCTGGGGTCCACGCCCCGCAGGGTTTCCAGAGTGCGGCTGGCGTGGTTGGCATTCTACGAACGATGACTGGACGGCGTTACAGACCGCCGCCCGGCGACCTTTCCGGCCGGGTTCGGCATCGTGTCCCCGCTTGCCGTCGCAACCTAGATGATGCCTGGTACGCTGGCCCCGGAGGCTTTCTGTCGAAGTGGCCAGCTTGCCAGGCGTAGCCGTTGCTGGGGCGCCGAACAGACGCGGACCGGCGGCCCCGGGGACTTTCCGTCGAAAGGGCCGCCCCAGATGCCGCCAAGTTTCCTGGATCCCGTTCCAGTGTTTTAGACGGGACCGACCGCAAGTGGGAAAAGGGGAGTAGAGGAGGAGGATCTTTCACAAGGCTGGAGATCTGGAGATACGTCCAGGGAAATCCCCGAGAGGGGGGGGGCAGGACACAGGAAGCAGGAGGAGGAGGCGGAGGAAGAGGAAAAGGAGGGACGGGGAGGGTTGCCTGGATTTCGCGGGTGCCGAAGAATGTTTTCCAAGAGTCCAGAAAAAAGGAAACATCCACACTCCTCATCCCCTCCCCTCCCCCACCCTTCCTCCCCCTCCTTACAACGGCCATAGGGGGCACTGGAGAGCATGGTGGCGGTGGTAGTGGTAGTGCGGTGCACGCAGGACCTAAAATGAGCATGCGGGGGTCGTCGGTAGCGCAGGGCAAGGCAGGATAGAGAGAGAGAGAGAGAGAGGAAGGAACTACGAGGGAAGAGAGCCAGGAGGAATGGCATCTCTCCAACCCTCGAATCCACTCTCATCGGCACCGAGCGCGGAGGAGGAGGAGGAGGAGGAGGAGGAGGAGAAGGAACGGTGAGGGAGGAATGACGATGACGACGATGATGATGCTGAGAAGGGCCCTCCAGGGTTCCTTTCTTTTCTGAGCGGTTCCTATTTTCGTTGAAAGGTCGGGGGGTGGGGAGACAAATCGCCCGCGATTGACGGCCTTGGGCCCGACGAGTGCCCCCTGGACGCCCAAACTTACCCCAAACCCTCCGTCGCGATCCTTTCGCAGCTCAATGGGGGACCGGCTTGCTTGCCACAGCTCAAGCCTTCGGCGGCCGATCGGGCGCCCAGGAACGCCCTCGAAGGGGCGAAGCTGCTGGAATGCATCCCCAAGCGAGCAAGCCCGCGAGAAACTAGTTTGGGGAGGCCAGACATCCGACAACATGGTGTTCCCAACCATCCTAGGGTGTTGGGTTCTCGTTTTGAAGGGACAGTGCTCAACGTTCCTTCCTCATTCCTTCCTCCTTCCTTCCTTCCTCCTCCTCGCTCCTCCCTCCCTGCATTTCGTGCCGCATAGGGAGCTCCATCGAAGGCCCACTTGCTACCGCCTGCATATGCCCCCCTCCACCCAGTACAGCGCTTCGTGGCCCCATAGGGAGCTCCACCGGATGTCCCAGTGCTACCGCCCGCATGCGTCCCCCACCACCCAGTGCAGCGCTTCGTGGCCCCATAGGGAGCTCTACCGGATGTCCCAGTTCTACCGCCCGCATGCGCCTCCCCTCCCACCCAGTACAGCGCTTCGTGGCCCCCAAAAGAGCTCCACCGACGGCCCCAATGATACCGCCCGCATGCGTCGCCCCCGCCCAGTAGAGCGTTTCGAGGCCTCATAGGGAGCTCCCCTGAAGGTCCCAGCGCTGCCGCCCGCATGCGTCCCCCCCACCCAGTGCAGCTCTTCGTGGCCCCATAGGGAGCTCCACCGAAGGTCCCAGTGCTACCGCCCGCCTGCGTCCCCCCCACCCAGTAC